ATTGTTTTTCCATCGACATGTATGAGGATGTTTTGTTACAGTCATGATTATATGTGAATCATCACTGAAATGCAGTTGTTTATTTATCATTTGTTTATCAATTATTTTAGAAAAAACACCAAATAGTCGATGTATGGTATTGTATCAGTGCAGCTGACATGTATAAAATATGTCCAAACATATTTGTATATGAGGAAATCACACTTGAATTTCCATGGTGGTAAGACTTCGGTCCGTTGTTGGGACGTTGTCTGTCATACAGACCCTGAAGCAAATATATCCAAGCCAACGCAAGTCTACAAAATGTGGCAAGTCTAGATTTTCACAGCTTCAGGAGAAAGTCTCAGGGCTCCTTTTCCTTATATAATATTCTTTTTTTACTATCAACTTTTTTCTGTAAAATATGTTCATATCAGAGACTAGTTGTTAATCTAGTTCTGACGGGTAGAAGACAAAAGACAAAATGGATACTAGTGCTGTTACATTTTGTAATTATATATAAACATTCGTCCTTGTCTCGGGATAAATGTACATTCGGAGGATATCGAAATCTAGGTTAAGCTAGTTGAATCATATTTACAATTAAAAGACCCAAACAATGGTGTGTTGTCAACATTTTTGGTTTTCCATAGTCACAGAACGATATTTTCTCCCCTTCCGTCTCTAGGAAAACTCACTGCAGGGTTCGGGTTATGGAGAGCCATACCGAACACCCACAGCTGGCGGGACCAACATCTCCAGTAACATTTACATCTGCCAACGCTTAATTCGCAAGTGGTGAGGCAATAAGCTAATGAGGCTAAGGGTCCTGTACCATGTTTGTGAAATATCTGTGATGCCTTATATGAAGTCTATCATCTAAGCAAGTCTAGCTATGTATGGCGTTAAGTCACTGCTTTAAGAAAGGCTCCTTTAGAATTTTATCTGGTCAATATTAGTATTTCCATCATATCGGAAAATACATAGACTAACGCTTAGTGTCTGAATATATATATAATTTTGATGGTAACAAACAAGCCCATTTAAATTGAGCCCCAGGAAGACACGAGATTCAGTCCGGCTAGCCATGGCTGCAGTTAGCTATAGATATGTTTACTTTGTAACCCGACCCCCAAAGTGAGTTAGGGTTCTTGCAGATGTTAACAGACCCTGGACCTGAGGAGATCTAGACTTGCTTCATTTAAGGCTTTAGCATTGCGCAGAGGGCTTGGCAGTAGGGGAAATAATGTGGTTCAGGGACTGTGAGACAGACTAAACAGTAAGGAAAATAATGTGGTTCAGGGACTGTGAGACAGACTATAAAATGCATGGCAACCTACACTTCATTGTGCCTATCACTTTAAAACACAAGGGTTATTTCCTTTGGGTTAACTGACAGGCTTTCGGTGTCAAATATTTGGAACTCCAGCCAAAGGTGATGTTATGCTGTCTGGAAATATGGCCTTTTTGTAATGCCATAATGATAAGTGATTGTTGTACATATGATGTTTTTGAAGGATAATATCAGCGTACTAATACTTTGCACGTGTTTCCCCCAACTCTTTCCATACCCGTAAAAGTTAACTTTCCAATATATGCCTGTAAGAAAATACTGTAAAGTAATGGGATTGCTGAATTTGGCCACCGGAGGTAGTGACCACAGCACTCTGGTTATACTGTATTGGGAGAGGACAGAGCTTGGCAAGATACCAATAAATATGCTTGTCATTTAAACCTTTATCTGATATTTGTGGAATGTGATTTTATAATTGAAGATGCTTCCTGCACCTATAGCCCCAATATAGATGTTGTTAGTCCAAATTACTTCGTCTCTTTTTTTCAATTGAAATTAAGATCTTTGCCCTTTGTCAAAATAGTATAGTTTCAGTCTTAATGTGCCTTTGTCGGGAAACAAACACCGGTTTTTAACCTGACAAGCGAACGCTTTAGCCACGAGCGTACCCCATCATTCCTTGATACTGTTGGTACATTTATTATACATTCAAGATTGAACCCAGTTTTGTCACCATATATCCTTCAGTTTTTATGTTAGTGACATGATCTGCACACTGATTATTTAATGAGTGGATTATATATAGTGATTGTTTGCGATCTTTATCCAATTTAGTTTTCCATTGATCTAGTAATTTTCAGTTTCTGTTTCCACGAAATTCTGTATGAAGGTACTTTTAACAGTTTCACCCATTAACAGTAAAGCATACAGATAATACGTTTCGGTACTTTGATAGATTAATAAGTACATATTATATTCCATGGTATTGAGATACCAAAATGATTAACATGATTATATAATGTATAACAAATTAGACAGCAAAAAACAAAAGCAAAAAAGAAAACGCATGAGCAACACAATGCTGTCAGGTAGTAAGCTTTCAACAATTATCGAAACTCCTTAGTTATGAGCTAATTGCAATCACTACAATTTCCTATAGTCTGCCCAACAGATGGAAACAAGATAGGTCTAATATGAAAATTATGAGCTAATTGCAATCACTACAATTTTCTTTAGTCTACCCAAGAGGTGGAAACAAAATATGTCTACAGTATATTTCGTCGGGTAACTGAAATTTGAGAAAACGTCCGTATGGAATAATACATGTATTCCGAATCAAAAAGAGGTCACACCAAGTATGTGCATGTTCACACATTTACAAAAGTAATTTACACCGGGAATCATTAATACATTGTAATCATCTTTTATGACAGTATAGATAATGAAATTTGTTCAGTTATGATCAGTCGGATAACTCATACAAGTGAGCACTAAAATTAGGGACCTACCGGTTCATGTCTGTGTGAACACATTCGTCTAGATCTGTGTTTTATTGTAATTAGCAGTGTCTACTAGTATAGCATATATAAAAAGTGTACCTAAGGTCAGTTCTTTAAACTGTTATGTAATTTCCATTACAAAAAGTATAAATGATATTACCTATTGGTCAGAAAGACTTATCAGTACCCCAACACCGACCACCGCAACCACCCCACCCTAGGCCTACCCCGTGCCACACCCTCTCCCTCGCACATACACACACACTCCCTAACATACATATCGCTCTGGCCCATAGACCCGATATTTGAATCTTTTAAACAGACACCATGTGTATGTCAAGAAAGACACGTGCGTTATTAGTGGTGCTCAGTCATGGGTATCACTTCACCATGTGTTACTAATTATCTCAGTACATTATGGCGTGGTCGGACGGGCTAACGAACCCTATGTGACAGTTACATTACAGCACCATTGAAATACATGTTAAAGTAGTGCTAATCTTGTAACACTATACTTACTCATTTCCAACCATTTACGCATGTACAAAATACATGACAAACCTAACTCTGGTCATACGAGATTTAAAGGGTATTGAAACGCATGTCCTACAATCACAGCATTTACATATGTTACACATGTTAGGAAACACATGGAAACAATGGCCAGATTTACACACCTGTGAAATACATGTAAATGCAGAGTCGAATGTTCGTTCATTTTAACACCCTTTTAAACGTGTGTAAATCTGACGGCCAGATGATACGTAGATTTCAAACGTTGTTCATATGGCCGCCGGATGAAACGAGTATTTCCTGACGTTAGTAAATTTGGGTAATACAGTCATTTTGTGTGGTGATTGTTTTTATTATTCTTATTATCATATAAGACGCTTCTTTTAAACACATCAATATGCGAGTATTCCTGTAACGTATATATTACTATTGATATTATACAGGGTTATCAGTCTTGTTTGAAGCAGTTCTGATGTTCATATGCCAATATGAAATCGTTTTTGATAGGCACGAGTCGCTAGCTAGCTTGTCCCGGAATACAATGAGCTGACCTTCGGATCAGCGCACCAAGCGTGTTGGTGAAGGGAAGATAAACTGCAAAAGGTCGCCAATTAACAATTCTACACAGACTAAATTTATATATAAAAAGGAACACAAATTACTGCGAAGAAAGTGACACTGCTCAATGAGGTGTACATAGTTTCTGAAAACATGGGTGCCGTTGTACAATACAACTTTTAATAAGGTTGAACTTAGTAACTAAGGTCAACCTTAAGGTAACCTTAACAACCTTCCTACATTTGGTTCAACCTAAACGTTGGAAAGATACTTAGATACTTAGCGCAATCTCAGTTGGCATCTTCAGCGCAGGAGATTCAATCCATGTCCGTAGTTACACGTGAGTTATCCCCTCAGCTCGAACTGATAAACAATTAGACGGTTGACTGTGTATGTTAATGTGGACAACACGCGCACCTGGCGTCAATGTAATGTAAATGAGGAAGAATATGTCATAACACAAGAACATATTTTATTGGATAATACCTTTCTTTGTTTATAATGCACGTGGCTATTTCTCTTCATAGTATTCTAGTATTCAGGTAAACTAGTATTGCTTGACAACGGTACAAGAATCTGTATCGAAACGTCGAACTCACGAATAAAAAGAAGTTGTTATCCATAAAGTTTGTTATATGAGGTAGAGCCGTGTCGGCTACTACCAAACAGCTAACACCATATGACAATTCCTGTTGTGTTTTATTAGATGAAGCAATAAGTTATATCAACAAAGACCGGTGCGATCGTGATGTCCACCAATGCTGTTGCTGATAGATATTTCACATCGTCAAACCTTCATTTGTTTTTCACTCTTGCCGACTCGTCCGAACACCCTTGTCTGGCTATTGGGAACAGCGAAACAGACCCGACAACCAGACTGGAGTGTAAAGAAAAATGTACAGTTTTGTTTATATCCAGTCTTCATATTCCTTATGTTTTTTTTCTTTGTCATATGGGCAATGGTTTAACACAACATCGTATTATTTATTTATATTTTTGGGGTAGCTTTTGTAATCACTTTCAAAACTCTTTTCTTTGCTATTTCCACACTATAGCCTTTTGCTTTGTCAACCACAACTGATGCATTACAACAGAGAACATAATGGAAATATTCATGATAAAGGACAGAACGATAACAAATGTCTCTTCACTTTCAGACAGAGCCAATGATGCTGGGGTACATCCTGCTTGTCACAATATTTGGTGAGTTATTGTTTCCATAAAAAATTATATAGGGGGTTATCCGCGAGTGTGTTGAAATATATCCCGTTTGCGGAATACACATTTCATATATTAGTTGATTAATTGATTTTATAATACGTTTGAATAAGTTGCCAACAGTTTGAACACCGTGTATATTTCTATGTTTCAGCAGTCGAGGTAAAGAGTGAGGAATGTCCCTTGGGTACATATCGTGAAACCTGTGACAAAAACTGTAGCACTAACTGTGCCCCTTCTGCTTCTGACAAGAAAGTCCACTGTCACAAACTGACTGGAAAGTGTTCAGAAGGATGCAACGCAGGTTGGCATGGGGACCAGTGTAATCTGGGGTGTAGCAGGAACTGCCGCAACTATGTCTGTAACGTACAAACTGGAACTTGCATACAATGTAAAGCGAACTATTCAGGGGATTATTGTGAGACATACGAAGGTATGTGGACTGAAGAATTTGTATTTTATGCGGTTTTCATGATAACATGCACACAATGGTTTGCCCGTTAACCGATGCCTGACATATATGTCAAAAGCATGCCTATTTCCAGTCATATGAACAGTATCAAACACACTGGTTTGTGACAGGGTTATTTTGTAACCGTCAGACAGTCGACTTCATAAGCAGTGTGGAGCTTGTAAACGCCACAGGTTCATGTACTTCGGAAATATCTCCGTTACGTCTGTAATGTCATCCATGTCACTGACCAACTCTGATACTTAGCACGATTTTGGTATTGTATGAATCTATTGCGGTTTCTCAGCACTTATTCAGGTAAACTAGTATTGCACTCTTTCAAATGTTACTATACATTAGTTTGAAGAAGAAGAATATATGTGTAGTTCCAAAAGGGTATGTAGAGTAACTGCAAATTATTTTTAGATTCGTGTATCTTTGTTATTCTACAAATTAAAGGTCATGGTAATAAAACCACATTGTAATATATAATAATACATAATGCTTAAAATGTATAAGGAATTAAAACATTATCAATTATTCAAAAGGAGACAAAATATGAATTGCTTTTCAGTCTGCCTACACTTTAGTGCCACATTTTATATTGTATAATAAAACCCCAGCATCTCAGATGTAAGAAAACAAGTCATCAGAGCAGTAAGAGAAACGCACACAAAGTTTCTACATGTACCATTCAGTAAAATTGTCATGTCTGTCCAAAAAATGTATGGTATTACTTTTTTTTAGTTTTGCGAGTGTTAAAGAAACAATGTTTAATAGGTGGTGTACTTCGAAAGAGGTCAATGGTGTTTTGATAGTTTGAGGCAGTTGCTTATGCTTGGGAATTTTAAACAGTGTGTATCAGTTTTGAGGATACTGATGTCCTACAAACTCTGATTTGGGATAGTACCACTTCCCGATGAGTCATCAGCCAAATGCAGTTTTGTTAGTTTTGTGGTTTTACATGTTAGTTGTTGAAACTTCCTATTAACATGGTGGGTATATTTAATTATTCATGTGTTGTTACTCCTGCTGAGAATGATTATGGGTTAAACAATAACATTTCCCCTTCCAAATAAGCACCCCCACACCTTTAAAAGCATTTGAGGAAGAATGACTGTCGAAAATCCAGACGTTTAATCCCAACTGGAGGACAACTTGCTTTTCTGTCAACAAACTCAGAACCAAACCAAAGTCTTGCCTCGAAGCCTTAAATGCGTCAAACTCTTAGAGTTAGTTAAGGTCACATGCAACGTAAAACACAACTTTGCAGATTCTGATACCTTTCGGTATGGACATACCGAAACAAATCGTCAAAAATTCAAATTCAACTTATAAAGTTGAAAAATAACGCGATGAAAAAAAACGCGCGAAATCGGAGTTCAAACGTTTCACTAATTTTCCCCCGATTTTTCTGGGGAAAACGGGTTTCAACAGCTGGGCTGCGCTCATAGCACGTGCGCAAGTAAATAGGTTTGCGCAGCTTGGAAGCCGGTTGTCGGGTGAATACTCCGTGAAGGCTTTGGTGTGAGCTATTTTTCTAACGTTTTGTTGATATCTCACAGGCGCGAGCTTTTGATATGTTATGACAGTAAATTAACTGTTTATATAATTTCATTTGTCTATTTCACCACACGTTCTTCTTACCGAGACACTTTCTCAGTTCGATACTTAAAGGTCACATGCAACGTAAAACACAACTTTGCAGATTCTGATACCTTTCGGTATGGACATAGCGAAACAAATCGTCAAACATGCAAATTCAGCTTATAAAGTTGAAAAATGACGCGATGAAAAAAAACGCGCGAAATCGGAGTTCAAACGTTTCACTAATTTTCCCCAGACTTTTCTGGGGAATACAGGTTTCAATAGCTGGGCTGCGCTCATAGCACGTGCGCAAGTAAATAGGTTTGCGCAGCTTGGAAGCCGGTTGTCGGGTGAATACTCCGTGAAGGCTTTGGTGTGAGCTATTTTTCTAACGTTTTGTTGATATTTCACAGGCGCGAGCTTTTGATATGTTATGACAGTAAATTAACTGTTTATATAATTTCATTTGTCTATTTCACCACACGTTCTTCTTACCGAGACACTTTCTCAGTTCGATACTTAAAGGTCACATGCAACGTAAAACACAACTTTGCAGATTCTGATACCTTTCGGTATGGACATAGCGAAACAAATCGTCAAACATGCAAATTCAACTTATAAAGTTGAAAAATGACGCGATGAAAAAAAACGCGCGAAATCGGAGTTCAAACGTTTCACTAATTTTCCCCAGACTTTTCTGGGGAATACGGGTTTCAATAGCTGGGCTGCGCTCATAGCACGTGTGCAAGTAAATAGGTTTGCGCACCTTGGAAGCCGGTTGTCGGGTGAATACTCCGTGAAGGCTTTGGTGTGAGCTATTTTTCTAACGTTTTGTTGATATTTCACAGGCGCGAGCTTTTGATATGTTATGACAGTAAATTAACTGTTTATATAATTTCATTTGTCTATTTCACCACACGTTCTTCTTACCGAGACACTTTCTCAGTTCGATACTTAAAGGTCACATGCAACGTAAAACACAACTTTGCAGATTCTGATACCTTTCGGTATGGACATAGCGAAACAAATCGTCAAACATGCAAATTCAACTTATAAAGTTGAAAAATGACGCGATGAAAAAAAACGCGCGAAATCGGAGTTCAAACGTTTCACTAATTTTCCCCAGACTTTTCTGGGGAATACGGGTTTCAACAGCTGGGCTGCGCTCATAGCACGTCCGCAGTTAAATAGGTTCGCGCAGCTTGGAAGCCGGTTGTCGGGTGAATACTCGGTGAAGGCTTTGGTGTGAGCTATTTTTCTAATGTTTTGTTGATATCTCACAGGCGCGAGCTTTTGATATGTTATGACAGTAAATAAACTGTTTATATAATTTCATTTGTCTATTTCACCACACGTTCTTCTTACCGAGTCACTTTCTCACTTCGATACTTAAGAGCAATGTCATTATTTAGCGTTGACAGAATTTCTAACTGTGATATAGATATGTCGTTGTCACAGACAAAACTCAATGTCTTGTTTTATTGACGCCTGTGTGTCTGCCTGCCTGTCTGCTAATGACAATATTCAATACACAGCTGCTATCACTGACCACATGCAATTTGAACTTAACACCGATCAGGCTATACACCATAAACAAAACGCATTGATTTATGGCCCGAGTTCGGTCTCTGTCCCATTATGTAATTACACAGACAGGCAGGTGTGATACTTGAACACATGACATGTTATGATGTCTGTTGATTGCAAAATGTTATACACAAAAAATGAGCATGTATTTACAAAACCCAACATCTCTATATATACACACACAATGACCCGTGAGGGCGGCATCTGCTAATGAACCAGTCGTTACACTTGAGTGCACACCCACCCGCTCTGACTGGGTTCGGTATCCCGGCTGCTTCGTTTCGAGGGAGGTAATCCCAAGTACAAAATATTGCACTTTTGATTTGCGATTATACGCTTATAATTTTGTTTATTTGTTTTTTCATAATCAGCAATGCATATTATATGTCATGAAGAAGTGATAATTGTGTTTTAATTATGTTTGATTTTTTGGTTGCATGTGACCTTTAAAAGCAATGTCATTATTTAGCGTTGACAGAATGTCTAACTGTGATATAGATATGACGTTGTCACAGACAAAACTCAATGTCTTGTTTTATTGACACCTGTGTGTCTGCCTGCCTGTCTGCTAATGACAATATTCAATACACAGCTGCTATCACTGACCACTGCAATTTGAACTTAACACCAATCAGGCTATACACCATAAACAAAATGTATTGATTTATGGCCCGAGTTCGGTCTCTGTCCCATTATGTAATTACACAGACAGGCAGGTGTGGTACTTGAACACATGACATGTTATGATGTCTGTTGATTGCAAAATGTTATACACAAAAAATGAGCATGCATTTACAAAATCCAACATCTCTCTCTATATATACACACAATTAGCCGTGAAGGCATCTGCAAATGAACCAGCCGTTACACTTGAGTGCACACCCACCCGCTCTGACTGGGTTTGGTATCCCGCCTGCTTCGTTTCTTGGGAAGTAACCGAAGTACACAATTTTGCACTTTCGATTTGCGATTGTATGCTTATAATTTTGTTTATATATTTCTTCGTAACCAGCAATGTATATTATATGTCATGAATAAGTGATAATTGTGTTTTAATTATGTTTGATTTTTTGGTTGCATGTGACCTTTAAAGAATCGTCAGCCAATGTACCAGCCTGCTTTAATGATCTACTATCAGCAAATCAAAAGTCCGAACACCTCCTGACACACGCTGCTTAAAATCTGCAAGCAGACCAAACAGCCTCAAATAATTAGAATCACCACTGACCTATTTTGAAGTTCACCATATATCAAATATAGTCCTTCTCATTAGCAAACTCAACAAAAGTGATGCCATCCTTTTGCTTAGTAGACCAATACTTTCGCCTGTAAGCTTAAGAAACCTATCCATCAAAGGCACAAAATCACACCACACTTCTCTAAAAGTATAAAATGCATTTCTCTCAATAATACTATTATCAGCCATCATGGAAGCTACCATATAATTTATTCCAAAAATATTTACAATTTTAGATTACAATATTAGATTAAAAACTTCGAATGAATTACTGCAACGTTGCATTAAATCGACTCTCGGGACCTCTACCGGCCGAGCGAACCCCATAGAGTTATGTCCCTTGGAATGCTCTTTACGAATATCGTAAGACTCAACTTGTCTTTGAAACCAGTCCGGCAAACACCGACAATACCGCGTGCGAAAGTTTTCGATGTACGGAGCAATTGTTTACTTTTCATATTTGGCACACTTTCAGTTATCGATTTTAGACCAGTGGGCAATCCTTTTGTTCCGAAGGGCGATTATTCTTTTTTTGCATTGTCCAACTTCCGGTCTTGTTCCCGACTCAATG